CCCCCCCCAGCCACTCCCCCCGCCCCCGCCAGGCTTCCGTCGGGCGCCCAACCGGAAAACCAGAAAATACAGGACATATATTTTCTGCATTTTTTTTACCGGACTGAGGGCCCAAAAACCGGACTGTCCGGTTGAATACGGACACCTGGCAACCCTACTTCTGCCCAGTGCCAATGTCTGCACCTGGGCCTATTCCCAAGGAGCGTTTTGCTCTCAGCCCTGCGTGTGCCCAGTTGTGTGAGCAGGGCCTGCCTCGCGCTCACAGCTCAGCTTTGCTTTATGTTTTCCCCATTGTTCGCCAGGCCTCAGGCCTCAGACCAGGCTGTGCTACGTGGGCCTTTGTGCTAGGCCTTCGTCTTGCTACTCCTGCCATCAGCAATGGGCACTTGCTTGACAGGCAGCTTCTGAAATCTGCTGGCTTCCTGCTCACTGGTCACTTGACCCTTTGGCACCCCGAGAGTCCTGGCGACGGAACTTCCCCTTGGGAAAAGCGTCTTTTCCAGCGCTGTCTGCGATTTCCGTTCTCCATCAATACAGCCAGCACAGAGTTGGTTGCTGCTGGTCACAGGGCTACCAAGAGATGACTAAGAGAAATGCAAAGTCTCTCCTCTCGCTGGAAGCTGCTTGGAGCTACAGAACCTGAGACACCATTTTTATTGGCTTCAACGGGAACCGGGTTAGGCCCAGGGTACCGAGGCAGGAGCAGTTTGGTTTATTGCCCTAGTGCTCTGCAAGGCGTGTCTCTGAGCAAACAGCAGCAGCCGAGCTGTTGCTGGAGTCACAGTGACTCAGCCAATCTGGAGAGTGGTGTAAGCACACGATCCCCTTCGGCAGCTTCACCTGGGCACGCCTGCGAGTTCGCTTTGATTTGCTGCGGGGAGGCCGGAACAGCACGTCTCTGGGAGCAAATGCCAGCTGCGGAGTTGGGTCGTCCGTGAGGCGCTCGGGGGGGAGACATTTCCACACGGGGTGCACGATGTGGGGCCGGCTGTGGGGAAGAAAGGCTCTTGTGACCAGTCTGTGGAGAACAACCGCTCTCGGGAGGGACCCAGGGGCCCAGGCGGCTCAGAGAGGGTCGCGGACGAGAAGAGCCCTGTGCGACAAAGCGGCGGACACACCCAAGGTTGCTCCTCAGACGGCCAGTCCAGGTGGGTGGAAATCATCACGGGGTGCACGATGTGGGGCCGGCTGTGGGGAAGAAAGGCTCTTGTGACCAGTCTGTGGAGAACAACCGCTCTCGGGAGGGACCCAGGGGCCCAGGCGGCTCAGAGAGGGTCGCGGACGAGAAGAGCCCTGTGCGACAAAGCGGCGGACACACCCAAGGTTGCTCCTCAGACGGCCAGTCCAGGTGGGTGGAAATCATTTCTGTGGTTCCGACCCGTTACGGTCAAGTGGCTCCCCGCCCCCCCCCCTCTCCTTCCCCCGCGGG